TAGATTCACACCTACGGCTGTTTCGCATTGCAGCTCCTGTTCTTCGAGCTCTTACAACCGTAATCATCGAGTGGTGGCGAATGTTGATCGAAACCTCTGCCTAATAACTTAGCGAAAGCACTCGTGGAAGATTCATTCACAAACATTCAACTCAGTAGGAAGTATGTCGTCAATCCCATCATATTTATGGCCAGGAACGTTTCATTGTGGGGAACCATAGAATATTGTTCGTCACTCAGTTAGGAAGATCCGCCATCCAACTTTAATGAAACTGATGCTGGTGTAAAAAGTTGTTGTAACTTACCATAGAGGGGTCACTGTCTGTGAAGCCAATATATGCTGAAAAGCCTTGAAGCACTGTTCAGCTGTTTCATCTTTTTTGGGACTAACGTGCAGTGTATATCTTACGTAACTCAGAGAGTGGGAGGTAATCATGTGACTTGTCAGCCGTTCACAGCCAACCGGTTAGGTGTTCAACTATCACCAGGAAGGCTACAGGTTCCTGATGATGGTGATAATGGTTTTCATGCTGACGACTCCAAATAATGATGAGAAATCCATGGGGTTACTTTTTTTGGTCTTTTGCCATACGCTGACTTTACTGACAGACTGACATCTTTATCGAATAGTGCAGCTGTTGAAATTTGATGGGCAATGCCCCAAGTGAAAACCGGAGTTTTTTCCCATTCGCTACGAAAGATCATTCAGATTTCCCGTGATTTTTACGAAACCCCGTCCAGCGTGGTGTACTAATTAAATGAAGCCAGTTTTGCTTGGTATGCTACTTTAAGCATGACTATGTATTACTTTGCTATATTCACGTAAGCATTACTTTATTTAGGGTGCATTGCCCTATTACTTTACGAGACATTAATTAAAGCTCCTAAAAATTGACGTAATGGGTTTCACTAAACTTGTGGATTGTTGATATCCGACTCTTGGTTTTCGGTCAGTGGCTGTCAAAACACTGGTAGCCTGTGAGTAGTGTTGGTCCACCCCAGGTTGTTTACACGGATAAGGCACAGCACACGAACCCATGCTTCAAGGTAGGTCCAATGATATACGATTAGTGCACGGAATTGCAGAACTCTACAACAGTTACTCAGACTAAGAATGATGGCTCAGTTGGGGGAATTTACCTGTTTTACGTTGATTTATCTACGTCTGCGGTCAATTTGTTAACATTTGTTCAGTGTTCTTCCATAGAGCTGTATCTGCGGCAACCTAGAAAATTACTGGTAAGTTAGTAATAAACACTCTGGGCATTTTATGGGACATTTACTCAGGGGTATTGTCATCCCCATTTTGACGACACGTGCCTAGCAAGCACCGAGTGGAAAATATAACAAACACATATCGGTTAACGCTGTTTATGTCATTTAAGTTTTTGCTCGTCGGGAATTGAGTACGACGGTGACCCAGAAGGACGATCCTACCAAGTTATGTGTACGTGCGTATCACTCAAATCCACGTGGCCATGATTGCATCGCTCAGGTTAAGCTACCTCAAAAGTTTCGCAAGTGTGGCAGATAAAAAGCAGATCTTCGGTGGAAGTAAATTTTCTAAAGACGTTATTTGTAGAATCTCGGTTTTCCAGACTTCAAACTTCGTTTGTCCGCTGACCAAAGACAAGTTGTTTCGGGATGAGAGTATGGTCCCTCAGTCTCGAATGATTCAATCAGCAGAGTTGGATCTGCAGCATACTGAGTTCCATCCCACTTGAGAGTTCTTTTCAAAAGAAGTTGGTGCTCAATATGTAGTCTGTCCATTTGATTCAAAGATGCCTGTGCTCATCGTATACACAAACTCGATCACGTGCGCAAAACTACTGCTGTACAGAGAAATATTTGGCAGTACTTGGCAGACAGACCGCACAAATTTGTTGTACCGCCTCGGCATTTTTATAGAATCGGGACCATGGTTGCTTTTTTGTCAAAAGGCAGCTCCGAACATACGAGTGGTAACCGTTATGCCTTGTGGGAAACACGCAATGTGCTTTGCATGCACTTGTCGGGATTAGAAATAGATGGTCACCTGTTTTTAATCCATCAGAAAACCATGAACACGTAGTTGCTGAGAATTCTGCAATCCACTTCACTGTAAGCAGATGCGACCAAGCCGGACTTCATCAGCTGATGGTATCGTGATGACTCGATGCACTTGAGCAACCATGTCGAGAAGAGATCTATGGTCCGCGCAAGCGACCACAGCGAAATGACATTTGAATGGTCTGGCCACTGACCCTAAAGACGACATCGTAGCCCAAGAATACTTCTGGAAAGTGGTGAGGCTATGAAATTCTGGAGTCGAATTGTTTGCTCTGCGAGAGTATGATACCTAAGTAAAATCAATTTTTAATCATTTCATAATTGGCTACTTTCACATTCAGGGTATTCACGTGTCACATGCGGCATCAGTTGATCATGATGGGTCTTATTTTCCGCAGCTCAGTGCCAAATCCACGTAACGAACTATATTTGTAGGAGATTCATTCAGAGTAACACAGAAAAACGATCAAATTTCCCATGAATACGTATTATTCCCAACGATGCTCTAATATATCTCTCATTTTTCACCATTAGTGACGAAATTACCATTCCACTCATAGGAAGATGGATCAAGCCACAATCCTCCTCTCTTAGAAGCTGTCTCCCGTTTTCCTTTCTCATAATCATCTAAGTATTTGGTTCTTTTCAACTCCCTTTCCCCTTACCTCACTATCATTCCAAAGTGTCCAGATTAGTTACAAACACATGACGTTTCACCTGTCCACTATCCCATGGGGATTTGCCCACAAGAGTTGACCAATGATTTGTTGCACAGCAAGCCTGGCTGTTCGATCAAGTAGAGTGACTAGTTGGCGAAACTATGCAGAGCCCGCAAAGTGGTGTAATCGCAGAACTTTGGTGTTGACAGGGGAACAAAATTCATGGTAAAGTGCGCCTCAGTTGACAGTTAATCTATCGGTGCACCATTCCAACAAAAGTGTACAGACCGGCTTTGTCTGTTTACAGTGGCAGCGGGCAGTAGGTCAGCTTTTACAAGCAAAACACGCGCTTGATTCATGTTACCTGTCCGTTTTGTCCTTGAGGGTGGTCAATTAAGCTTGTAATCTCGTAGCCAGTAGTTGGTTCACCTGAACCTACTGCGAATGCTCAAAATGCTGAGAGTGAATTTTAGTCAACCTCCTCTGATATAGCTTGTTTTGTCGCCTTAAATCTGCTGAGGCCTCACAGTCTTTTAAATAGTTCTAGTGAATTGACAGTGCGGCACACGTATAGTTTGTAAGATGCCTGTCGCCTATGGAACCAACTTAGTCCAGTGCCAGATGGTAGAAACAAAAAAAATGGAAATACGTACTCACAAATACTCCGTTTTAGCAATTCTACTGAAAAAACTGGGTAGACAACAAACTGTGAATGTACTGAAAACAGGCTTTGCGCCCATCAAGACCCATTAGTGGCGCCATACAAAGGATGCTTTCGGGCAGTGGCCGAACCTTGGTATAGCGAATATGTTTATTGTTGATCGATGTGATACATATGTTCATCACCTCAAATGACGACCAACAAACCATCCCTTTCGCGTAGAATCAGAGAGATGAAAGCGACACAGTAAAACTACCAGTAAAGTGGAGGATTTTTGCACAGCAGTGGATTCATAGGTTTTTCTGGTCCGGGTGCAAACCGAGCACACTTAACCAACCTCCTGTAGTTCTTCTCCAAAAGATATAAGTGAAACCTTCGCTTCTGAAGCAGTTACTGCTCGATATTCAGCAACAATTAGGCCCTAGAGTGTCTTTAAATTTATCAGACACCTCGAGGTTTCTACTGTTGCTGCCAACGAAACGCATTTGTTTTTTAGGCCGAAGCTGTCGGAGCCTCTGGTCAACTTAGGTACAAACAAGGAAACACAGCTGCTCCATTCATTAATGCTCAGCAATACAGCGAGAAGCGGTTCCGCTTATACTGGGGAATTTACAACTGCGTGCTTATGGATTATGAAGAACCGAGCAGCTAATTGTTGATTATAGAAAATCTCAAAACCCAATCTAATGGGATTTTGTTACCACCAATTATCCGTTTAACCCCAGCGCAATGACGCAATCAGCACGGCTGGCTAAAAAATCTTCAAGGGTTTAACAAGCACTGTCCCTATAACACCATCGTCAGCCGGAGTTTAATAGAATCACCTTCAGAACACCTGTACTTGTTCGGTACTGTGAACAACACGTCAACCGTTTAAATCGATAGACCGAAGAATTTCATAGTAAGCAATTACAAGAAAAGCAAATATTTCTGGCCTGTACATAGAGTAAAAGTCGCGCGCTTTAAGAATGGTCAATAGTAGAAACAGCATACATGCCACGTTTAACGTAACCTAAGCACTATATGTAGATTGCATTGCATTGCTTGAATTGAGCAATTGTGGCCTTAGAGAAATTCGGAAGACGAATTCACAACAGCTGAAAAAATATTGCAAAAGCTGGTAGCCTGTTAGCAAACGATGGCTGTGGTGGCAATTATTCCAAAAATGGGTTTGTTATTAGCCTTTTGATTAAACCCGCGCTGTTGATGTCATTCCAATTGATGATGAAGCGTGAGCAATCCCATTACCAAACTCAAAATACAAGGGACGTACCGGAGCTACTATATTTCACGACATCTTTAGGATCACCCCAGTCTGTACATCCACTTTTCGATCAGACAATCGTAAACGATAGATTCAGCTGGGTTTTGTTTAGTATGTAGCAAAACCGGATTTTCATGCAAATAAGTGTATTTGTCCTCAAATTTAGGCTTGCACAGACCACCTGTAACTCTTAGAAACAGATTGCTGAATAGGAGTTGCGTCTTGGAGATGATCAGTCTGTATTCGGCATACCCTTCTGAATTTACCAGTTCACATGCAAAGTAAATCGACCATTTCTGTCATAAGCATACACATATTTGCTATAAACGGACCCAGCAAGCTGTCCACCACCCTCATTTTATTTTTAGATTGACTCTTGAAATTCGAAACCTCCGTGCTCGGCGCCTAGCAGGAGAAATTCCGCAATCGCAAGTTTTCGAGGTGGTCAGTTAACGTTGAAACCCGATAATTTAAAGCAGGGTACATTGGGCGTCAGTAAGTTACTGCTATTGGACGCGTTTGTTTGTATCCGGTGTTTTCATTTCCAAATATTCATGATAGTCATTTTGCCTGTTTAGTCTGGTTGAAAAAGGTCGACAGACTCAGGACCGGCCGGAGAGTTACCTCAGATTTTGTGCAATCAAATGGCTCCAGTTAACTATGAGTTCCTCCGGTTAGTGCATCTTTTAGAGAGCCGTTTGGCGTTCTTGCTGTGTTACGTCAGTCAATGACTTTAGCATTTACGATGGAGAAATTAGGAAACAGAGTGCGGACGTTCCAGAACTCTTATTATATTTTACCCATCCTACTTTAGGATTCATTTATGAAGTCCAGAAGACTATAGGAATTTGAGATGTCATATTAATGTAAGGAATAACGGCGTAGATACACTGAGACAGAAAACAACGATGTGGGGTTAATTGATAATTGATTAATAGTAACTAGGAATGAAATTTCGAACGTTCGTTGAACCAGGCAAAATGTTGTATAAAGACAACTTGGAGCGTAAAATGGAAGCGGTGTGAGATGCGAATGTCAGATTATTAATATCTGATAAAATAGAACGAAAAACCTTTCAGTCATGATTAAAACAGCGAAGGCTTTTAAAAGGAATCCAGTGACAGAACTCTTAGCATAAAAGGAGTCTACTTCTCTACCCAGTGAGAACACACGACCGAGTTGGTACCTGGCTGTCTGAATGTCTATGCCAAGTGACGCATACTTTGCCCCGTTGACTAGGTTGTCTAGTCCCGCAGTTCCTTTTCGCTTAAACATTTTTTTCGTTCTCCCCACTGTTTGCTCGAAATAGGTTATTAGACGACCACCCGTCGTGTATGGCAATACAGAAACAGTAAAAGTATACCGGTAGTGGTAGGTTTGTGGAGATGGCACTCACCGCAAACAATATTGTCTGTGTCATTCCTGGAAACATTAAGAGCACATAACGAGTACAATGCTAGCATTTTCCAGTCTGGTCTTACCAATCCAGCTGCATCCAAGAAAGCAGCCCGCCCAAAGATTACATCTGTTTAGCTGCTTGAATAGCTAAAATACTTAGGACGTTGACCAAAAGTATTTTCAGCAGTGAGGGAGGCCGGAATAAACCAGAACGTGCAAATGTGCTTGAAGCCTCAGCCAAAATGCTTTCATACAGCTATCTTTCGTGCGAAGGCTATTTTAAGTGACTCTTTTCTCTCCTGTCTACAAAGAATGGACTTCTCCATAGACTCACCAATTACACTGAATGGCCGTGTCACAGATAAGAGCGGTCTATTTTACCGGATGATGTGTACGTTACAAAGAAAGTCGCTGTTTAATCGTTACAGTAATTTGACGACCTTTTTGTCACCCAACTGACCAGCCCTACAGTATTGAGTTAGCGACCTGGCGACACACTTAAAATGTATCTATAAACAGGACAAGTCGTGAAGCATTCATATTTGATAACGGCAGATGTATAACGCAGCCAATCCACTATCCGGCATCTATAAATGGAACTTTTCTGGGAGGTTACAGGATTCAATACCTCTTGGTTAATATTTTTCACCACGCGGCAGCCGACATCAACTGTTTACCCACATGATCAAAAAGGCGACTGTATGTTGAGCAGATTGGGCAATAAATTACTTGTCTGTACCGTCAAAAGGATCAACTCATGCAAGAAATTCCCTTATGCAAAATATGCACACATGCGAATCTAAAAGTAAGGTTATTAGGGATTTGGGATTATCGAATTTAAGTATAGATAATGGGACTTATTTTTTGAACCAATTTTTCAGAACTGATCCCACTTTTCCATAGGCGACTGCGAGAAATCCACATAACTCGTGCTTGCTAAATAGACTACCAAATACAACATTCTTCCCGGTGGCATTTTTCACGCTTTGTTTGCGCAAAACCTGCGGGCCCATTTTTGAAACATTACCGAATGCATACGATAGCTGGTATGCGCGTATTGGAGTAGATCATGCAACTTATTCTCCACTGCTTGAGTTGAGTAGTATGAGATACTAATGTAAAGAGAAAAGGTCGGTGGAAGGAGAGGGTCTGAGTTTAGCCAATAATTTCAGCTCAAATAATTAACTGGTTTCATTTTGGTACCTTATACGCGCAACAAGCATAAAATCCCACCCACACATATTCTCCATAACTTGCCGCTGAGTGGCAGTTTAGTGCACTTGAGATTGAATTGTATTTCATTTCAGACAGCTTCTTCAAAAAAACTACCCCGTACGGTCATCTAAGGTGTATTTTTCGTGATATATATATGGAGAAAAATATGCCGTCAGAAGTGAAAAAACCCGGCGTGGCCATTCTAGGTGCACTGGGTTCATATACTGCAGCACACTACTTACGCTACTTTGCATGATAAGATCTTGATTTGTGTGGATATGGCTCTCCAGATGGTGGATCAACCTTCGTGGGGCGATACCAGTGAGCACTTTGGCAGCAATGACGACTTGGTTGAGGCCCTGTTTTTGCACAATATTCTTTTGTACGACCCAATCTATTCAAAGTTTATCCGTTCCAGTTAGTTCGGATTATGGATGTTAGTTTGGCCACAACGAACCCTCTATCTTCATTGAAAATTGTGGGTTGCAGGCCGTCGGGCTCAAACGCTTTTTTTTAATCTGAACTAACGAAATTTCATACTCGGCTTTCGTCGTCGACTGATATCTACGTTTTGCTTTTCTGGAAGATGAGTTAAGGCGGCCTATCTAAACTGTTCTTCCGAGTATTCAACCCATCTTTATAGATGATTTATTTGTGAGGTCCCATCCTTTTTGCACGTCTTTTTATTAACATTAGCCTTCTCTTAACCAGTTAATTAAATTATCTAGAACAGCGTACACTTCAAAAGCTTTCTTTATTTCCTTGGCTTTTGCGATCCACCGGTGCTCACTGTTAATCTTTATACTCTTTATTATTAGGCGTTTGATGGGTCCGCATGCGCCATCGCCGTCGTTTTTACTGGTTTATTTTTCATGGCTTTAATAAGAGCTTTTTACTGGTACGGAGTCTAGTGTTGATTGAGCTGTCCAAGCAACCTCGGGCAGTCGGTTCTTAGAGCTGTGAGCATGGCCTGTTTCACCTTACTCTAATAATTACGCATAGCATTACTATTCCATTCGACTTCCAGTCACTTAGCCAAATTCACTTGACGTTGTTGAGTTACAAAACCGCTCCGCAGGTGGCCACAGGAGGATGACCATCGGGCTTTCCCCATGTCATCTTGCGGTGTTACACTGAAAATTAGTGCACGGTGTTTTCGAAGCTTTTTTCCAATTTCGGAAGGAGTTCAACGAGCTCTATTGGGGAGATCACAGGAGTGGCTGTGCTCACTTTAGTATTTATCTACTTATTGCCTGGTGACACTTAGATGGAGTGGACCCACATGGTCGAAGGCTGTCAAGCAAATAGGATACAATTATACTGCTACTAGGAAAGGTACGAATATTTGCACGAAAGCGTTGAATACGTCCTGTAGCTTTCAGTGTCGGGGAAAAATCTATGGCTAAGTATAACGAATGTAAGTTGGTTAGGAAAGATTCCACTAAAACGTGTTGGCTGTTTTCTTTTAACTAGTAGACGAATATTAGGGATAATATTATTGGAAGAGATTTTGAGCGTTTCGAAATGCTATGATACTACTCACATCGTCCCAATTGGAAAAAGCACCGCGTTAGGCCGAAAAGACAGGCGAGGTTTGGCGGCTGGTGAAAATAAGGCCTGAAAACTAGGACACCTCCTCGCATCAATTCGATTTCTCGGACGGAAGGGTAAATATGCATGCTTGACAGCAACCTGGCTGTTAGATGCAGATGACTTACATTTGCAGATTTTGTTGTTGGTTACTGTTCTTAGGCTTCTGAAAGCATGACTGCATGCTGCTAGCCGATCTCCGTTTAACTACATTCATCTCTGTGATAAAGTCTGGTCTGACAAGCGCATTTCCAAGTTTACCTGTTACAGCGTATCATCATTTTCTATATCTTGACCCGCTCTCTTACTCGCAGATTGGATAAGTTGCATGAGGTTACCTGCCAAAAGGTGCAGCTGCGAAAGCGAAAGTACAGATTGCAAAGTTCAACGTATTACATAGTGTTCAAACCTTTGCTACAATTTGTGGTTCACTCAGGCTCGTCAGAAGCCCCAAAACAATAAAAGTGGTATTAAAATAGGTATACGGATGCGCTGGAAACATATTTTCATTTGGTCCGACTACCTTTTCTTGCACAGGTGCTTCCAAAACAACAATTCTTATGCACTTAATCTTCACAGATAAAAACGTGACCAAAATAGCAAGTCATCCCGGTGAATGCACAGGTGTGCGTAGGAACAGATTTGAAAGCATTGTTACTGATATTTAGTCAGGTGTGTATAAGAAAACAAATCCGAAAGCTTACACATTGTTTGTGGAACGTACTTTATGGGGGAGGGTAGTAACAAATGCATGTTCCGTTAATGCAACTAACTTGATTGGCATCAAGAATACATTACATTTTTTGCTTCCAAATCCAGTATTTGATGGTTTTCCGCCCTGCACTGGCCTATGTTGTTTTATATCCATCGTAGTTTTGTAGTTTTGATTAGTTGCATTACCTGACCAACTATTTATGTTTATCCGTTTTGACTGCCACTACCTTTGAATAGCCTGACCTGACTTTGTAAGGTGGTAGAGTACATTCTTTTGTTCCGTATTTCACCCAAATAATATCGTTTTTAATCGTACTTAGGATGATACATTCTCTTTGAAAACTCATCTAAACTGTCATACGTCTAACTAAGCAGTTAGGCAGGTCATGCGACTATTTATACTCTCGACATTACAGTTAATTTCAGTACCGTTATCTGGTCATTTGTTCGTTGCTATCCACCGAGCAGCAACTCGCTTTCACGAAAACACAAAGACCCAAGAGCTGCCAAAACGAATTAAACGATAGATGACAGTATAATCCGCTCCAATACTTATGCCAGCCAAGAAAATAGCAGTTTGGTGGACATCAAAAATCGTAGAAAGTACTATGCACACTTTTCTATCGATGTAAATGTCAAGTTAAACTTTGATGCTTCCCTTCAATCAACTCTCTTTTCACAGAATTCCTTTCACCCTAGGATGTTCGCATCCCTGCTAGATATTGACTATTTGCAGCCTCATTATATCCACATTATCTTTTGGAGTGCCACTTTTCGACAAACCGAACGCATCTGGATAAGAAATATAACACACAATGGTGCTTCTTAGGTTGGTTTAAAAGCAAACTGGTGCTATATTCTAAAAGCAATATGTAGGTGGTAATTTGCTGACCGTTAACAGTAGTATAGGGCTACTGCCCTTTCTCTGAATCCTGTTCCACCACACATTTACTTTTCCATAGAGTGGAACTGAGAAGAAACAGTCATTTGGGTACACTCTGCTCATCAGACTCCCGGATGGAGCGGTCTTCGCACCTTGATCGGAATGTATCTCCTGTTGATTAGGTGGAACCCAACACCAATAATTTCACATAAGGGCACTAAATATGTACTCTAAACCCGTCGTTGACGAGCCTGAAGCCTATCAGGAATGTTGTCCTTACAAATGGATCTAAGTATCTTTTGTTAAGGTGTACAGCGGGCCTAAAACTAACATAGTCTCAACCAATGCAATAGACCACTTTGTACCGTACTACCCAAAGGAGACCACAGCATTAACTATGTCGGTCAAAATAGGCAATAATGTGTAATTTGGCCTATCGAGTGGCATCAGCAGGATTATTACGGTCTTTTCCGTTCCATTATCCAGCTTATTAACGCTGTAACATGACTGACTGTGCACCCATTGTGGAGATATAATCCACTAATCATACAATTGCTGAAAAACTAGTTGACATCCCAGAACCTTTTACACCCTTATTGGGCTAAACAGGCTGGCTCAGTCTCCGAATTTTCATCAGCCGTTTGTTCTACTTGAGCTCGAATTTAACAGATTTCGACAAGTACACTCATCTGCATACCAATCTGGTTTTGCCTGAGAACATCACAAACGAGAGATTCAGCTGAGTTCTAAGTTAGTCTTCCGTCAAAAAGAAATTGGTGTGAAAATGAGTATGCTATGTGCACACATCTTTCGTATGCACAGAAAATTCGGACCAATGCAGAATATAATTCAGTGCTGACCATCCTTATTCACCCCGAATGTCCTGAATATATGTTTAGTCATTTGTGAGGTGCTCTTCTGTGCCGCTGTTTTCGTGCCTGCTTTCTATTTATTTATTTATTTCTATTTATTTATTTATTTATTAGTTTGTTTCTATTTTTGACAAAATTAAACAAAATAATTGCGCTGTGAGACTAGTATGACCTTGTTTTTTTCAGATCAAATATTTCAGCTTTGTTGATAATCCCCAGCGGCGCACATCCAACAAGTCTTTGAAGGAAACAACCCTTCGGTTTGTAGGTGAACATTACATCGTCCTGCTACTTTTGTCCGATGAGCGGCGCAGCAGAAATTCTTGACACATTCGGTTCACACCATGAAATCCGGTGAAAACTCGCGCCTACATAGATGACTTTACAGATGAAAAATCTGTACACTCTCTGGTCTTTTTTATTTTGATTTGAACTCACTATAGATAGCAGATTCATAAGCTTGTACTCTGATTTCTTCTATGCTGCAGGACTGACGAATGGGATGAAACTATGTCATCCTTGTTGAGTGTTGTAATCAGCGCATATTCAGCGAATTTCTAGAGAGTTTTGTTTTGCTGTGGACCAAATATCAGGGATTACCTAGAAAAGTACAACGTGCTTGGCGATCGCCTAAAAAGTGGACATTCTCGTAACGCTCCCACATACAAAGCCATTTGGCTTTCAGCATTTTGCTTCTTGTCCTCGTTCCATGGTATGGCGGGTAGTGTGGCGGCTTACAAAGGGATGTTTCAGTGGAACGTTAAAGCCAATGCGTCCAGGAGAATTTTTTTTACACTTTCTTTTTACAATTTTAAATTTCAACAGTTTCAATTGCAAGAATGACAATACACTCCAGTGTGGATGAAGTCTCTTAAAAATTTATGAGCGAAGCACCAACGAGACATATGAGATTTAAACACTATCGGTACCGACGTTTGTGTTTAGATATGTGGGCAGGAAATGAATGCTACGCATAAACAACCCGCGAAAGTTGTTTTACGGTGCTTTTCTTGTTTCCCTGAAACTGAAACCAAACGAGGAGCTTAAAGAAAGTGTGAAATGTCCACGGATTGTGCTTCTGCTTGGAAACGTCGAGGACGGAAAGTACATCCGTTGCTCCCTTTTACGTAGCAACGCTCACGGCGTGCTTCGATGGCAACGTTCTCTTCCAAAAGTTGGTAAGCTGATGTGAACAGAAAGATAAAAATCCCTCACAAACATTCCTTCGCACAGAGTACAGAATGTATTTTTATTATCCGCTTGATATATATGCCTGCGAACTGTACATCCATTATCCAACGATTGATCAAAATATAATCGAATGCTTCGAGTGTAGGCGTTTGTAGCCGTTGCACAACTTTGTATCTGACCACATATAAGCGATAGTTGATGAAGATTAGATGTATGGTTTGGCCGTATTGCGTGCAGCAAAGTTTATCCCACAAGTTTGGAATGAATTTCACACCAATGAACTGTTTGACGCCTAAGGGAAAAACGTGATTCCTCTCACGACTCCTCAACAATCTTAGATATAGAACAAAAAAGTGGAAAAACACTTGGGTTGCGCAAAATTTGATCAGAATTTTCCCTCAAACGACATTTACGGTCAATACGGTCCATTGTAAAGTAAGTGGAGAAATCAACACAACTTTTTTCTTGCTTTAAGGAATAGATGGTAGCAGAAGAACATCGTAACGTTGCAAATGACAAATCCATCGGCATAATGAAAATTTTTGGACTTCAGCATAAAAGGGTATCTGAAATGACATTAGGGTGTACCGTTAAACCAAAGTGAGAGTTTAGAGCGTTTGTGGGGGCGGGGACATACAAGAAATCATTGAATGTCTATGATGTTTAGGTGAAAAGTGAAAAAAAGAAATTTCTTCTGCTGTAAGCATCCTCAGTTTTGTTGTGCAGATACTTTTCCGCTTTGTCACTCTAATTTCAACTTTGATTGTAAGATTTACATGCGTATTAACTGCACGATAATTGAGACAGCTGTGTTGCGATGGGAACCAGTGTTCCGTAGGGCTTGGTGTGTTGCACATATATTAGTTGATAATTTCATGCAAACCCGCATGACGAACCAGCTCCCTTAGATTAAATGTAGGTTGAACTGTTAGTTAACCGTTAGAAGAAGAACGTTAATAATATACAATGATGCAAGAGGATGGGGGGCTGATATTAAATTCGAGCTCGCGTGTCACATGGAACCAAACCGTACCAATATCCCACAAACGGTGATTATCATCAAACACTTTTTATACAGGGTGCACGGATAAAAGTCCAATAGACAGGGTTGGTGGCATACGCAATTTGTCAAACACGACTAGGGAAACTGAACATATTACCCACAGTGTTTTTACGCACTGGATCATAGTCTGGGTAAAATTGGAATCCGAATCATGACAGATAAATAATATAATTTCTGGCATGACTAGTAAAAATGTGGTCCCAGAGCAAGTGGAAGGTTTATACGGATAACGTAACGTCTGTCAGGGCCATGTTTAGTTTTTTAATATCACTTTTATCGTTTGTAAAGCGATAGCCTGTTTGTCTTTACACTTTCTTTTGAATTGTCGCGCATAAAGACATATGAGAATGTTGAGGACATTTGAGAAACAAAAAGATTACGTCCTTATTGACGCCGACTACTATCTATTTGGACTCATAGACTAATTAACATTGATTATTCAAGAACCCTTGAGACTGTTTAATGAGTTGCAGCGTTCCGAAAGAAGACAAAAGTAAAATTGAGTATAACGATTGATTCCACCGATCAGAAGTTCATGCGTTTTCATTTCATAGAAGATGATCAATAAATGCCTTCTAAATTTTCAGATTAATACTAAATTAACCGGTAAACAAGTGAGTTGAGTGTAACTATGTGCGAAAAAACCGATTCGGTCCATATAATTGGTAATAAGACAGCAGTCGTCCATCTAAATTACAGCCAATCTTGCAATAGCTTATGATATTTAATATATTCGCAGTTCGAGAAATACAATCATTTGTAAATAAATTTGGTTTTTTGTTCATAGTCACACCACTCTCATTTGAACGGTCGCCCTCCTGTTCTGGCGTAATTAGTCCGGTGAGTCCACACCAAAGGGAAACACTGGACTCGAGTTTCGCTCTTGTTAGAGCTCATCAGCCGTGGATATCCAATGGCCGTGCCAAGATCTGAACCCCGGACCTCTGACATGCGAAGCGAGCGTGTAACCACTACTCCACCAACGCACGTTGGACGCATCTGAATTTTCACCTCTGAACTGGCGAACGTGTTCACATTTGAGCGATATGAGTGGTGTGCCCGACCCATCAAACGACGACCCAGTAACCCTCCTGGTTGTGACAATCGATTGAGCTGCCAGTCAGGACTTCTCAGTCAGGTAGCGTGACAAACGCTTGAAACCCACTGGGCAATGTTGGTTGCAATGTTGGGGTTCGCGGGATAGGCATTTTTTGTTCATAGTCACATGCTCGTCTCACATGTCAGATGTCCGGGGTTCAAAGCCCGGCACGGCCATTGGATATGCACTGCTGATGATCTCTAATAGAAGCGAAACTCGAGTCCAATGCTGCCCTCTGTTGTGGACCCACCGGAATAATTACTCCAGAACAAGAGCACGTCCGTTAAAACGAAAGTGGTGTGACTATGAATAAAAACACCTATCCCGCAAAACCCAACATTTCACGAGAAGCTCAACTAAATCTCTCGTTTATGCTATTCTACAACTGGCCCACCTGATAAACCCCAAGAAGGGCAAAACTGGTCGTGGGCTGTCGTAGAATTTTCAGCAACCTTGTGGGTAGTTTCCTTTATGAATATATTCACATTTCACTTCCCATCTTATTCAGCGAAAGGCAAGTGCGAGTTTCATCAAAAATATCCGAACTACCACAATGGTATCAAGTACACCAGAATTCCTCACCATAAAAATCCTGCTGTATGGCAGCCGCTGGGTATGTATTTTTAACATTAAATAAAACCTCTATAGGCTTTCTCCTTTAGTTTGCTCACTGGCAAAATCTGATTGGATGCTCACTATTGGGAGGAAGTTCAAGTCCGGGTGCTCTTCATTTTGTGTACTCGGAGCTATCGTTGAATAAAAAACTAGGCCTCTTTTACGGTTCCTAAAAAGGAAATACAGTAAATTCCACCTAAGCGATGTGGTCAGATGGACTCAATAATACATTAAAATTAACAGAGATATGCCAGAATACTGTGGTGCTAATCACAAACAGTTCACTCGTGACTATATTTGCATTTTGAATAACCATTGTTGAATGGAGAGGTTTGGAGCAGATATTAATTTGATACTAGTAAACATAATGTGTTACTAAACCACACTAAACGAGTTTTTTTTGAAAATCCTAATTGAAAGTAATGGTATATGGGAGTAAGTTGGTGGAGTAGCTGCTATTATTTGAGAACTCCTTAGCCTTCAAAATCCAGGATAGGAATTAGGAAGTCCCCTTTGAGGTTTCATAGACCTAGAAGGGATGGAAGCTCACTTTGAGGAGGAACATACCTTAGGAGCCAAGAAAAACCAAATGCAAATTAGATGAATAAAAATCTTTAAAAAATTCAAACCAAACCAGAACAGGATTTTGCTGTCATTGGCCTTTGCCAAAGTCATTTTTAACACGATCTCGAGCGAGTCTTTTTAGCCCGATCGGTTTTACCCGACAAGGATTGTAGCTTTATTCCCTTCATAGAAGCTCGACCGCGGACATGGCCGATATATAGGGTTTTTTGGTTCTTTTTAGCACACTATTTGGTGTTTGATTTGTCGGTCAAAAGAACCGTTAAATGCTGGTTTATTTTTAGTATCAGTAGCATATGCATACTTTTTGGTCATCGAAACGGTAGACCACCAGTTGCAAAAATCAAAAGAGCTTATGGAATTTAAGGATCATCAGCTGCTTACACACAAGCTGAACGGAATGTTTCAACAAACTAAGTGAACGTGAACAGATAGAACATTCTGTCGATTTAAGAACCATTGTACCGACCACAAAACGAGACAGCTTTACAAACGGACAACGTGACATTTTCGAAAATCTTTCAGGTCCTATGATGTCATATCTCAGACTGTTCAGTTTTTGCTCACCTGCTAAACCTACGACTGGCATACTTCAACAACGCTTATAACCGTACCCCTATACCACCAACATACTATCAGTTTATTCCGATGGACTGTAACCTCATATCGGTTTTATGATGTCTCATATTCATCTGAATCTGACAAGGATACCTACCAGCCAGCCTGTGTTGTCCTACCCTATGCTCTAAGAATCCTCGCGCGAGAAGCTTCTGATTATTTGAACAGATTTTGTATTGTAATGCTGAAAAACCATTCTTCGCAAAAAAAATATGAAAAGTATTGAAACTATTAAAGACGAAATTTTTCAGAAGCATTCTGGACAGTGACGCAAATTCACATAAATCTTACTGCATTCAGATTTCCAACCTATCGCATCTGGCCACAATGCTCCAAGCATGCATCGATCAAATTCCTTCCGTCAGAATTTCGGAATGGGTGAGAGTCAGTGCCTTTGAATTCAGAAGTCTGTAAGACGAAGAAGCGCTATTGTTATTGTATGAACGAACAAGCATAGGTCCGTTAGTTTTCCCAGGCATACGTCTGATACTTTTGTGCTGTCTGCACTAACAAAAAGCTGTAGGCTTTCCATAGTGAAACTTTGTGCCACTCCCCGAAAAGAATACATTCTCACCATGTGCACAGGTTTGTCGGCTTCGTACGTGCGCTCTTTCTCGATAAATAGCACCATAAATATTGCACCTGGGCAATATTAGTTCAGGACACTGCAAGAGGTTGTTTATCTGAGGATTGATGATGCGATTCATAAAACCGTCATCCGTGAAAGCGGCGTTCAAATTCAATCCAACAGAGAGAAAAGGGTAGTATTTAGAGTCTTAGTAGATGTTATTCTGATGCAAAAAGTTGGCGCAGATGCTTGGTTAACTAAGGGTTCGTCTGTGATGAACATGAACACTATTCAGTGTAACCGTCAGATTTGAGATGTGGTGCCGAAGGTATAATTTTGACCACTGCTCAGGTGCACACGCAAAATTAATGGATGAATCGCTTATCTGCAATACTCCCTTGTATTTGCCGAAAACGATAACACGCATCTGGATGTTTTTTCCCATTTGATTGTGTTTGTTAATTCTGGTCATTTCTCTCAAACGTACTAAGCGGGTGAATTCTCTTTCAGTCAGCGAAATCTGCAGCAAAGTTGAGTTGGGAGGAAGTTCACGATACTAAAGCTTGGAATCAATTTTTGGAAGAAATCGATGAGGAAAATTTGCTGTACCTGGAGATCATTGACTTATAGGTAGACGTTGGTTGGTTTATCGGTGTTGACAAAATTGCTTCAGATCACTGCGTGGACATGTTATGGTATTACACGCGCTCATCATTTTCGAGTGGCGTGTGCGGATCACTTTGGAGACTGGTGTAGAATAACAGTGACTCA